GTGTGAAGAATAAAATAGTTTCAGGACAGTTTCAAACTAAAGCTTAAGAATCTTCTTTGGGAAGATCTGAAGAAGCCTATTTGGTGTAGGCAAAGCATTTCTTGCTATGGAGAACCTTTATGGAAGAACAATTTGAGAAGCCCGGTGATAGATCTGCTTTGTAACTGCAGAGCAGTGAGCTTCTGGCCTCGAGACAGAGGAAATCTCCAGCAACTTATAAATCAGAAAATGAAGCACTGTCATGCATGATGGCTGTGTTAGCAAACAAACTATATTCAACACTAATTGCAATAAGCAAACTTTAAACCTGCGCTGTTAGGCAAAAAATAGAAGTGATCTCTCTTGCAAGGTTTCCTGTACTTCCCTTCCTGTCGCTTCTACGAACAGTTGAGAAGAGCTTTTCTCCTGGAAGGGGTCAGCTCCTGTTCTTGTTCCAGAACTAGCAGACGTTCTCAGACATTTAAGAATTGCATAGTATGAGAGAAAAGGGGAAGTTTTGAGGCAAGTTTCAGAATTGATCTAGCCAGTGCTTTTATGTGAACTACGTATATTGTATCTTTTCCTGATAAGCTCATGCATGTGATGTGGTCATTTGTAGATGCTCAAAGTACAGTATGTCATAATGTCATGTCTTCCCTTAAAAAAAAAAGACCCACAAAGTTATGGAGTAACACATTTTTAGTATTGCTCTTAAGCTACCTCTCCAATCACAGGCTTAATAGAAATGGATGTGTGTGTATGCAATAAGAACGTTGGTTACCATTATTGATCTTGCTTTCAGTCTTGAAGCATGCTACATTTGTACCTACATGTATTTCTTATTTGTACATTTTTTCACATTGCTGGCAATTTTAAGCCAACAACAGTTTTGATACTTTTGTTCATTTTGTGATACCTTAGTTTTTTAAAAGTTACTCGTGTCTAAGGTGGCTTTCTTTGAGAAAGATCTGACATGCAGACATGGCTGCTTCCAAGAATTAAGGAAAATGACGAGCTTTCCCTTTTCCCGCAACAAGTGCAGGAGGTGCCTTTAGGGCTTCAGCTAACATAACCAGGAGGGACAAGAAGGAAGGTAGTAATTACAGCACAAAGAAGATGGTGCTAGTGACTGTGTTGTTGCATGTTGTTACCCATCCACAGAAGGAACAAAGCACATGTGGCAGGAACTGTATGCACTCCTGGAATGTGTTGGTCAGAAGAGTGTAAGAACTAGTGTAGATGAACAATTATTGCAGGAAACGGGAGGAACTAGTCTAGGTTTATCTCTGATCTAGAGGAAGTCTGGTGGGATTTCTGCCTCCCATGGATGGGACAGTGAGGTCATACTGCTGCACACAGCAAATGATGTCCATAGAATCCCAGCTGGTTTGGGGTGTTGTCAATGTATTGAAACAGAGATGACTTGGGACAGAATTGCTATGGCAAAAAGCCATAACTGAGAAAACAGATGTTCTATACAAAAAAAAAAAAGTTAAAAATATAGTGGAGGTATTTGAGGTCATGTTCTGTATTAACTATTTAGTGACTTATTGAACAACCTGTCTTGCTGTTTTTCTGCATCTGTAGACAATGTGGATTATGGTAAATGTCTGTCACCTTGTAAAACATGGATGGAGAGCTGAATTTTTACATGCAAGTACTGGCAGCAGAAATGAAATTTCTATTTGCATAAGCCTTTTTATACTATTGCTTTCATTTTTACACATGTAACCTTGATACAATAGCCCAGTGACTAATCAACTTGCCATACAGAGTTGGAGTTGACAGTGGGAGGGGAGGGGAGAGAATTGTTTCCTCCTGATTCTGAGTTAAAAATACAACAGAAAAGGTCAAAGTGACCCAGGATTTCAGAGTATCAAAGAAAAAATGGGTTATTGTGGAATGAAAAAGACTGGGCAAGAACTTATACTAATACTTATATTGCTTGAGCAGCAGGGGGGAAGCCACATCTGCTGATCTCCTCCAGGTTTAGCCTCCTTGTAGGAGTTCTTCCTCTATAGATTTATGCTTGCTTGACATCTTCATCCGTCCTGAACATGGAATTTATTGCTTTTATAGTACTGTTGATGTATGATTTAAAAAAACAACCTGACTATGTTTAAAAATAAGGCTGGATTTTTTTTTTTTTTTTTTAAGGGAAAGGTAGAGAAAGCGAAGAAAAGAGACAGAAAGCCTCAGAGTCCTGGATTTGTGAAACAGCATGGACTTAATCAAGGCTTCCAACTAAGGATGACCTCTGGCTTTTAGATTTCCATTGCAAGTAAAAGTTGGGAATGATTTTTATGCTTTTAGGAACTGATAGAGACTCTGAGAAAAGGCAGTCAAAAATCCATGTTTGGACTAATTTGGTGTGGGACGTATTGTGCCAAAGGCCATCAGAGTGGAGGTAAAAGGCATTTTTTGGAGGAGGCTTTGAAGTAGGTTATGTGGAGTTCTTGCTGAGCTGCCTGTGGGCTGCTCATACATAGCCCACGAGTGCTTATCCTTTAAAATTTGCTTTTCCTCCACTCCCGTGATCTCCTTGTTCCCTTCACTTGCATACTAGATTTCCCAGCTATGGGGAGAAACTAAGACTTGAGGAGTTTCAGCTGAGGTTTCTTGTTTCTGTCCTTACAAGTTTGAATGCAGCAGCAGTGCCACATCTCGATTCTTCTGCTATTGAGCAAGAAGGTTGTAGTGATGAGAGAAGCTGAAGAGAGGGCAGTGCGGGGAGAAGCCATAAGAAGGAGATGCCAAATCTCGCATCAGGGAGATTTCCTGTATGGTAAAGGTGGGACTGTGTTTAGCAGAGCCTTTGTTTTAGCTTTAGTGCTATGTGTATTACATACTTCAAAGTGGAAGGGCTGTACAAGGCTCACGCAGTGCTGGTAATCCCTGCTAAAAGTGCTAACACGGACACAAGGGTCTGACACTGTCCAGCTGCTGGATCCATCCCTTAGGTCACAGGGGAGGGGAGATATAAATGAATCCTGTGCAGTCCAGATGGTTATCAAAGGTGTTCTTGCTCAAAGTCAGGAGTTGGGTACAGAACCTGTAGCATGAGAAATTTTACAGCCTTTGTTATGCAGGTCTGTTTTATGATCACAAGAGCTTATTAAAATGTGTGAACAGCTGCTTGCTTGTTCCACTGAAAGCCTGAGACCAGAAGGGGTTTGCACTTTTGAGACGAGAGTAGACCACACAGTTCATCGTATGCATGATCTCGACATAGGATTTCAGCTAGGAGCAGATTTATACTTTCCTTTTATGAAATAGCTTCTGTTCAGGGCTTGTTTTCCAGGGAAGAGATAGAAAAAGACAGAAGAACAAGACACAACTTTCTAGTGCATTGTGTGCAACTAATTAACTTTTGGCCCTTCAGCAGCTTTGTACAAATATGGAACTTTTGTCTCAAACTGGATTTCATGTTATTAAAAGATTTTTTACATGCCCCTTTACCCTGTTACGCCTAGATGTATGCAACAGAATAAATGCTGAAAGTCTGTTGTTCTCATATTTTGATTCTGCAGTGACTGCCTTAAGAGAAAAGCTCAGAGACAGTGATGTGAAACAGTCTATGCTCTCTTCGACTTGCGGTACTGGACAGTAGAGATTAACTGTTTTATGCTTATTTTCAGACTGGATATTTCCATCTGCCCCAAGGGGATTACTTCATTGAGCCCATTAAAAAGCATCTGCAGAAAGAGGGAACACCCCATCCCCATATTATCTATGGAGCAAATATCCTTCAAAATGCTTTAAGGAGAAGACGGGCAGTGCCTATGGAGAGAGAACAAGCATGTGGATTGAATGGTATAAATATTTTAGCTGTTTGCTTTATGCATCTTTTTAAGCAGCTTTTATTTTTCGGTTGTCTGTGCTTTCCTTCTGTCAAGTTTGTTTAAATTCTGGAAGTAATATGGAATAGAATGGAAAACAGTGTATCAGTCACAACACCTTCTGTAACTGGCAATGTTCCTACCTGAGAATGTGAACCCACATTTCCTTTTTCTCCTTCCTTCCTGCTGGAATATGGTTTTCCAAGGTCTTGACACCTGTGATCTTTCCTACTCCTCACTTTTTTTTTTTATCCAGACAAAACTTGAATCGACTTGATTTCTTGAATAGTGCTGGAATGACAACAACCAGAGTCATTATTTTTAATAAAATATTCTCACTCTGTACAAATGCCCTCCTCAACATAAAATTGTCCAGCTCTAATCCATGGTTTAATTTTAGGATTTCAGGCTTCTTTGATTCTTACCAAAGTTTTTGAAGACTTTTAGCCTGTTGCTGTGAAAATGAGGTACACTGTCATATCAAAAGTATACCTAGCGAACTGTTTTTGTAGAAGCATAAGTAAAGATGACTAAATGACTTACTGGGTCATTTGATGCTGGGTGTTACTGCACCAGTATGTCATTTGGGAAAACAATCTGCTAGCCCTGTAATGAGGAACATGTCTGGTAGGTAGTTAGCATATCCTGATTACCAAATATATTCCTTCAATTCATCAGTTAAATCATGTGTTTGATTTCATAACAAAAGCTTACAAATGTTGCTTTGGTTCTCAGGTACTTGAGCCTTCAAGCTGAATCTGCACAAGACATTAGTAAGCGTTAGGGACAAGACATTAGTAAGGGTTAGGGAACCAACTGTTTTGGTAGGAAAATGAATAAATAAAATAACAGATAAATCCCAATTTATGTACAAAAGGAGCTGCAGAATATTAAGGGATGTGTGTCTGTTTTATAAGTTAGCAGTTAAAGCTGGTTCTTTTTTTTTTTTTTTTTTTTAAAAAGACTATATAGGAAATTTTAATGCACAGTCGTGACTGCTGCTAGACTTTTACTACTGTGTAATGCTAAGTGATAGGTAAAAGAAGCAAACAACAGCTCTGCCCCCAAACACATTCTAGTCAAAGACCTGGGTTGAACTTTTTGATGACAAAAGGCAGCATGAACTGATCGTGTGGGAAACTAGAAAGCTGATGGTTAGAGGGCAGATATTAAATCTTCATCAGTGTTGACCAGCCCATGATAAGGCATGCTGTAAGAATGAATATGACTTTCTTTATTATCTTTTATCAACTACAAAGTATGTTTATCTGCTTGACAATGAAGACTAAAACTGATAAACCATCATCATCAAAAATTGGCATCTGTTTTAACTTAAATCTGTTATTGTTATTTTCTTCTGGTGAATACTGGGATAAATTAGAAGAATCAGTCCGAATTTGCCTGCGATGATTGAGAAAATGTTCTTGTCTACTGTCCCTCAGATTTCATTATGCATGAAATAACTTCTGTAAACAATTTTAAGTATGGAGAGGAGATAAAAGAGGCCGTGTGATCACCCTGTGTAGTTTGAGTCACCCCAGTATATTCCTTCAAATTACTGAAGAATAAGGCAGAAACAGACTGGTTGTGCCTGGATGCCAGAAAAAAAAGTGAGCATAAATTCTCTGAGATTTGATTACATTAACTAGCTAGGTTTGCTGGATTTAAACTCCTTACTAGGCTTTTGGGTTTAAGCTTTGTCTGATATCACTCATTCTCATATGGCAAAACTGCTACTGGTAAAAGTATATTCGTCTTACTCCAGCCTTACAAGAAAGTGTCTTACGAATTAAGAAAGGAGTGTACGTAATCATTTATGTTTCTGTTTAATTGACTTGATCAGACTCTACAGGTAATGTCTGCTTTTGACTCTTGTAGCCGACTCTTCCACAGCGGTAGAAAAGGTAAGAAATGTCAGTGTCATTTGCTCTTTGCATTATGCCTGGTTAAAAGAGCAGTTGCCCTTGTTAAAGGGGGGAACAAAAAAGGCAAGTGAGGTAATTGTGTTCTGTACTAAATATCACACAGACTTTGAGGGAGCTTTTGTGCATACATTTTCTTAAAGGTGGTAAGATGACTTCCCCCTTTTGAATACTGCAATCACTTCATGTGTGGCCATATGATATCACAGCTAGCCCAGACTAATGCTTTTGGGGATTGCTTTAAAACAAAATAATTTTAACCTAAACTTTGCATTTAATTATAGAAACAAGTTCTGTTTTATAGCTTTTAATATTGTGATCAGTTTTATGTAGTCTGGAGTCTCAGCTTACTCCTATTGGCCTTAGGAATAATTGCTAAAGAATTACCTCTTGTATCTCTTGTAGGACCTGGTTTTAGGGATCAAATATTTTACTTTTGTGGGCTGAAATTTACTACATGCTTTTGTGTGAGTTCTGTTTCTTTTTACACATAAACCAAGTCAATTTAGCCATTTGAGGATTATGATAAGGAATCTTGGTGTTGTACTTGAGTTAAAATATAGCGATGATTTGGAAATAGGTTTATACACCTTTTTAAAGTTAAGTGGAATGTCTGCCCTGTGGAGATATGTATCTGTGAGCTAATCCAGTCCTGGCTTGGAGTTTAGGATTCAGTTCATTGAATGAAATCAGTTACCTGTTTTGAATTGTATGATTCTTGCCTTAAACTCCTTTGATAGCTGTTTTTTGCTTTTCTTTATCAAAGCCTTAGGAAGTCACAAACTGTCACGCAATCATTAGAAGACTGTATAAAGCTAACAGGACTAACAAATGTCGCATTGCTTTAATCTGGCCCTTTTTTTGTGAATACAGAATAATATTAAACAATATGTTAAGATAAATGATTTTATACTCATTTTTCACAGGTTCTTTGTCTCCTTTGGTGCACAGGATGTTCTGGGGTTGTGCGTTGAAAAACATGTTCATTGGCCTGTGGGAAGGCAGCTGAGCGCTATGCGAGAATTACATGAATTCTTACGAACGGAAATGAAAAATTAGATTTTTCATTGAGAATTAGAATATTTCTTCCTTGTTGGGTTTAACTGCATACCATTACGTAGCATTTTTAGAGAGCCCCTCAAAAAATCTGACTCATAAAAATCTGACTTTAAAAAATCCTTGCTCTGAACCTTGTGGTATTTTTGTGTACCCGTGCTTTTGCTATCCTAGTGTGAGGTTAGTGAGACCATCCGAGTATGGCACACTGACCTGCTTGTGTTCTGAACAGCATTTTGCTTACTGAAAATGGCAGTGAAATACTCAGTAGAGTTTCAACCCTAAATTGATTATCTCAGCTTCTCTGCCCTACCTCGTGGCCCTCCTCCTCAGCTTTTATTTGGCTACAAGCCTTTGCTTATTTCCTGTAATTCCTTCCTCAAGGTAGTAACACACGAACTGTCACATCTGGCAGTTCTTGTTATCCCTGTGCTTTCTACCACCCAGTGTATAGGGTGTGTTTATGCAGTGCAGTATTGTAGCTTTTGATTTCTTTGTGTGTTTTGTGTAATTCCATTTACTTGTGTTTCCCATCCTCTTTGTCTCTAATGCAAATCTGGTACTAAGTGTTCAGTTGAAGATGAAGCTTTTGTAACTTCTGCATTTAGTTATTCTTGCAATCACATCTATCTTCTCTGTTGCTGTCATTCCTTCCTCTTCCGTTTTATACAGAATCTACCTTCTTCCAAATAACCATGCATGGTCTTCTGGTTTGTTCTTCTGGTTAGTGACCTCTTTGCTTTTAAGAATACCTTGGCATCAGTTACATTCCTGTGCTCTTGCAATTATTATATTAATTAGTTTATGATTTGTGGTATCCTCAACAGAATTATATGCTTGGAGAAAAGTCATTATGCTGCTACAAATCAAGGATGTGATAAATGATATAAATTAGAACGTGGGTATGTGCTGTGCGCTTCCATTGCTGCTTAGGCAATTGTCAGATGACTCACTCAGTTGCATGCAAAACTGAACAGTAATCTTGAAAATACCATTATGATATTGTACATTGCAGCTGGTTTTCAATATAATTGGAAATTCGTTTGAGAAGTGGCAACAGTGACAAATGAGGAATGGCCTTGACCTTTGCAAGTTACAACTATTTTACTCATTTAGGCTTGTAGGAGAGGAAAACAGAGGGTTTGAGGGTTTCTTTTGTTTCTTTAAATAGGTTATCTTTAAAAATTTCCAACAGTCCAAGATATAATGTAGTAGATGAGATGATGTTCTCCAGGCTTAAAAAAAAGTCCTCCTCTTTTTGTGTGTGTGTTTCAAATAACCTACCACCAGATGATGATATGCTTATGAACTGTGAATGGGAGAGGTTTTGTGAAGTTTGTGGATGAAAATGGTTGGATAGATGGAACAGTGGCTGACTTGTCAGTGATACAAGATTACAGCACTTCAACCGTTTATGTGGTCGAGTTGCTATGGTTCAGAAATAGGATATTTGGGTTTTTATTCAGGCTGTGACTGGGTGAATGCTGCAATAGATGGTAACATAGCTAAGTTAAGAAGCTGGATTTAGGGTATTAAAATAGAAGTCTACTATTATACTTTTCACTTGAGCTTTAGATTGTACATGGCTGTCATATTTTTAGCCTTTGTTTTGACTTTGAAAGCAGTTGGCAGGTGGGTTTCATGCCTATCAGAATTTAGGGTTGGTTTGCATGTTTTTTTCATGAACTTCCAACTTCTTGTCTGCAAAGGTATGAAGTCTTATAAATAGAAACTTTTCCATCATGTTGAAGGTATTTGTCCTGGTAGCCGCAATAAGTCTGGGGAGGGAGGGAGGAGATGGGCTAGAACAGGGCTGGCTCCAGAGACCCGGTACCGTGTGGAGCGAACGGAGGCATGGGAGGAATTAAAGGAGCAGAGCAAAGCCATCTGTGCAAAAAGTGTTTTAAAAGCCTTTTGAATGATGCCTTTGAAGTGCAAGTCATTTAATGGCTGATTAGAAAGACACTAAGCTGTTTCAGGCAATAGTTATCTGTTG